TGTGTGCTGGAAGAACATCCTTCCGAGCCATGTGGCCAGACATTTCCTGGAGGATAAGGTCAACAGCAAGTCAAAAGATCTGTATCACGAGGTTTGTCGGCTCATCCCTAACCACAGTAAACGACTCTTTGTGTCTACTGGTTCATTTAAGTCGTCCAGGGCTCCACCCATGATATTGGGCATGGGAGGGGGAGGGGCGCTGCCCATTTTGGCACTTCAGAAGTCGCCTAGAACTATTACCAAATTGAACGAGAGGACATAAGGTGTATGGCCAATCTCTGGAGGATTTCCCTTGATCCAGGTGCACATTTCGCGCTCATTTGAGTGCAGACGCCGTGCTTGCAGGGTAGGGCCTAGTGGGAGAATCCGTTGAGGATTTGCCCATTAGGCTCTACCCTCTACCCATTTTTCTTTCCCCGTTGAGGAGAAAGGTCAAAGTCGCTGGGAAGGTGCCGCATGATGGCAACGCCGCAGAATTACCAGGTAACTGCTATTTCCGATAGTTGAAATTAGTTGACCGGTGACAACTTTCACGTCTCAGGGCACTTGTCAACCGGGAAGCCTCTCCTCTCCTTTTTTCTTCCTCCTTCCTTCTTTTCCTTCCTTCCTTCTCTGATCCCTCCTCCTTTACCTTCTCCCTTCAACTACTGGACTGGTAGATGCCTCGTGAAAATAACCCTGGACCCTCGCAGCGAGAGCACGTCTGGTTGACAACAGCCCCGTAACCCAACCCCCACCCTATTGCTCTACCGACGGCAATTTCCTAGTGAAAAAAAATTGAGAAGTGTTGGAAAGTTCTAGGGAAATGGGAGAATTCGAGAAAATAGTACGGAGGATGGGGTAAGAGGGTCGTAGTGACACCGTCACTTCGCACTTCGCAATAGGAATTTGATTTTGGATAATCTTATTAATACCATCTTTTTCAGGCCAGAGACTATGCCTGCATCATCTTTATCACTATCACAGACTTCAGTCGCTTTTATATGGAGTTGGATGCGAATAATGAAGGTGTCGAATGCTTACGACTGCTGAATGAGATCATATCCGATTTCGACGAGGTCAGCAAATCATTTCATTCTAGAAAAAATGTTTCAT